AGGCTCAAGCCAAGACGTGCAGAAAAAGAAGGAACAAAACAGGGGTTGCAGCCAGGACTGTCCCAGCACCTGACAACGAGAGCGGAAAGTAGGAAAAGAGGAAACTGCAGAGGGCTAGTCCAGATGGGGTAATACGTAAAAGAGAGAAGTGGCTTTTGGGGTCCTGGGCTGGGCACTGAAGGGTAGTGAGGAGAAGGAACGACCGGCCCGCCAAGTACTCCGTGCGTGAGTGGGTGCACACGGTGCTGCGATGCGCACCTGCTTGTTTTGCCCATGACAGCCTTGTGAGCGTATTTTTGGTGTGAATGTTTAATCCGCGAGAGGAAGGAGCGACCTTGTTCAGCCATCAGGCTCCGATGTGAGTCGTTGGAAGAGACCTGCATCGCAGAATGTCCTTGATTGTGAGGGCAATGCGCGACAGCTCGCTTGGTGACTTGCTGGCTTGCAGGCTTGTAGTTCAGCAGCCCAACCTACGGGTCTAGAGCTCAATGCGGTGGCCCGACCACCGAGCAGGAATAGTGGGATCAGAGACCAGGTCAGCAGGTATTCTTCCCAGTTCGGCAAGAATGAGTGACCGCTACCGCAAGACTGCATGCTGCCTGAACACTAGCGTGCGCTGCAGGTCGTTCCTTACTCGTCTGGGTGCGACTTGTCTAGGTGCTGCAGACCGCACTAGCCAAAAAGGGAAAATCCCGGCCCCCGTCGCTCTCTGCTTTGTTTTAATTTGTTGACTTTTTCTCTTTTCTTTTTGTTTTCTGTCGTTTCTCTCTGTTCTCTCCCACTACTTTGCACCGAATCCGTGGGACGGGATCGGGAGCAGACCGCTGCAAAGATCCTCCTTGGAAAGAACACTGTGCAGCCCAAATTAGGACTTGAACTGCCAGTTTGGCGAGCTAGTTTAGTGAGCTGTTTCGCGACTTTCGTTGACAACCGTTGACAACAGCTGTGCAAACAACGGGCTAACGCATACTGCATACAGGACGCTCCAATGATTTCGACTCAGGGTCTCAATGCCAACCAATAAGCAGAATGCTGTTTACATAGCTGGCGACAGACGATAGGTTGTCTAGGCTCAACCAAGATGGGCGAAAACACACAAAAGAAAACATCTTCCGCAACGAAACAGAAAAATAGAATGCCCGCACGACAGCGTCGTGATGCTTTCGTGCTTTTCAGCTGAAAGGGAGATGTTCGATGTTACAAAGGCAATTCTAATACAAGACGCGAATCAGGGGAGATGGCCGAGATCGTCATCTGCCTAAGCTCTTTTTAGACGATGAAATGGGACAATGATGGAAGCGAAGAGAGACATATCTGCACCCAGGACGCGCCAGTGAGCCCAGCGATTTGTTTCTCTGCCCCAGAAAAAGAGGGACTCGGGAAGTGAAGGAAGCGACCGCACCACGGTAAGAGTGGGAAGACAGCCAATCCATTGTGCGGACACAAGCCGGACAAGGACAAGCCATCCTTGACTACGGAGCCTGGGAGCCAAGCTCCTTTCCTCGCTTCGTTGCTGGGGGTCAGCGGCTTGAGGGCCAGAGGGCTAATGACCACAGGGGCGCAGCCCCAGCAAGAGGCGGATCGCCTTGTCTCCTTTGGTATTAACACCGAGTGGGACTCGTGTTGGTAGTAGCTTTCTATCTGGACTCCTAAGCCTAAGACGATGCGCCAAAATAAGAATCAATCCTATGAGAACCATTGCGCGCTGCCAGTTGGAAATTACTCGTCACGCCGCAGCGTGCCCCAATATTGCATACATACTAATGCCTGTCGTCCTTTTAGTTATTTACAGCCGCTCTAGCCGTTCAGGCGTGGCCCTGGCCTTCTCATATCTCACCCCTAGTCCTCAACGTTTCTGAGAGGACGGCATTTTGTCCGTTCTGGGCAGCACAATGTGACGCTGGCAGGGAAGGCGGGAAACTAGGACATTGGTGGGACGAAGGGGCCCATCATCCAGTCCAGAAGCCCCAAGGACCCAAGAGTACCGGGAAGGGACTGAGACATTCTCGTTGGAATACGTGTCAAAATGCAAAAGATGAGAGACAGAAACGACAAGTATTACGACGCAGAGAAAAGAATAACAGCTCACAATGCCGGGTATGCACCTGGTGGTCTCCGCACCACCGCATTCCACCTGTCGACTCTCAACATGACAGGTCAATTTTGTCCACGCGTTTTGGCGGAGGCATGCTGGTCCCGCTCTAAAAACCGTTGCAGAAATGAGTGAAGGAGGGCAGCCAGAAAGTTAGGAAGTAGACGAAAAAGGGACAGACGCAACGGCCGCGTCAAAACAACATTAAAACTGGCGCTGTGAATAGAGGTTGGCCTGGTGTGATGAGCCCGCCCAGGTCCTCTGCCTTATATCTCCTCTGAAACGTATACCGACTGTCTCCAGCTCACTTATTTCCTACGCCGTAATTGCAACTGGATTATAAACCACTGTTCAGGCGAGCAGAGAACTGCATCCAACCTTTGGATCTGATTCGCCAGTTTAATTGATCTCCTACCGGGCAACAATTTCTGGACATCAAATGAGAGCGCGCTGCTTGCACTGTATTCTTCTGTTTATTATGCACTGTACTCTGCTGGAGTGTTTGGTGTTCCCGTGCAGCTGGTAAGAGCTGCCTGGGGGGAAAGCTTTTAGGCAACGCCCGACCCAGTGCCCTGGGATTACTCTCACTTCCCAGCCTCTCTTTTTTCAGTGAGAAAATACGCGGATCATTCAGCTCGCCCCTTTGACCAACACAAGAGCTCACTTGCGAGGCTCGTCATTCCTTCGCCCAAGCTGTCGGGACGGATACACAGTATCAAACAACGACGGTCAGAAAAAAAGGAAGCACGGTTCCACTGTGGCGAAAACAAAAAGAAGGTAAAAGAGTAAATCATATCTGGGATAGGCAATCCTCCTTTTTACGCTTTCGCAGGGGCGTATTAAAATCATTCAGGTGGGAGCCCTCGAGCGAAAGGATTACGGTCGCGGGTTTCACATTTGGCCTACTGCCTATATATTTCGCGACGAGTATTCTACACCGCCAGAGTCGAAAGAAGGCAAAGTCGAGAGTGCGGTTCGAGCTCATCCGGAGTGAGGCCGAAAGAAAGCAATAAGTGAGAAAATAGGAAAAAGCAAAACGTTGTGAGGGACTCGTGAACGATGCGAAAATAAATATCGCGAGATGTATAGAGAATAATACTCTGTGCCCCGTACGCAATCCTCCACTCACAACAAAACTCCTTTGTTACAGGGTGCTTTCTCTCAGCTGACAGAAGGTAAAAATACAGAGTGGACATACGGAGCAAATAAAAAAACGACGGAAAACTCCGTGCATGAGAAAAAAAGGAACAACAGGAAAACGAAATTACAGGGGACTGCAGTAGCGCCAGTTCGAATCCAGCAGACAAGGAGATGATGCATGCAGTCAGAAAAGACGAGAGAAAGCAGCAGGGCCAGTGTCAGTGCCACCCTTGTGCTGGAAGAGGTTCCCGCGTCGTTTCCCCATCGCGTTACCCAGGACGGGATGCCGGGGGCGAGCAGAAGAGGAGACAAACTCCAGGATGAGCGGATAAATACTCCGTAGGGAGAGCAAAATAGAGAGTAGTACAAAATATTGAATGTTGTTGTGCACAGCTTGATCTTTGCGCCAATGCGACTCTGTGCCAGTGGTATACACCGACAAAGTTAACCTGTGGCACAATCTATGCCGTAATTACAGTGCAAGATCTTGCTGTCGGCTTTTCCTCCAGCCTCTGCAGAGCAAATGTGTCCAGGCATCTTCCACACCATCACTCGTTGAGACTTCCTGTTCGGACCAACATACGCTCGAAAGGGGCACAAAAGAAACGTCAGTGGCAAACACTGAGCCATGACCACCATGAGCATAAAACATAACCAAATGAGGCCCACACTCCTAAATGGATATTGTTTTACGTGCTTCTTTTTGTTTTTCTTTTCTGCCCCCATCCCCCATCCAACCACCAACAGCCCGCCTGCCACGCGACAGCGGGTAATGTTTCCAATTTCATCACACACACAGCACACAATCACACATCACGCCAAACTTTTTTCGACGGATTAGCGCACGGAACGTCCAAGCAATCTTTTGCACTTGTTCCTCATTTACCCATATTAAAACTGAACCGCCGCTGTGGCGCCCTCCGCCCGCAAAGATCCGACACGTTATTTATGTTTGTGCGCTCATCCGGGTCCGAGCGATCGAATCAACCCTGACAATGGCCCTTGCGCAAACAGGTCGTCAACAGTGTTGTACGACTTACGGGCTTTAACATGTACTTGCTGCTCGCCTATGTTTTGGCTTTGGAGATGCATGGCGGATTGCTAAGAGTGCCGCTTGTCTAAGCTTCGATAAAACTTGACTATGTCTCCGTTCACTCTGCTCTGGTTGACATTAGTGGCGCTCGTCCAGTGTACTCCGTATATTTGTTGCTTTTGTTCCTTGTCGGTCATTCCCAGCCGTGTTACCGTTCTTTTACGATTCATTGTCATTCGACAAAACATGTTGAGTGGGATTTCTGTGAGAGAACATGTGCAAAGTATGAAGTACGTGTGCTCTGCATAATTTTGGGTTCGTCACGCTCCATTGTCCGGAGTTACATGGTCTGTTTGGTACAAGTAACATGCGTTATGACAGTGTCGCATATTTATTCTACTTTCTTATAACTTTGACTCTTTCAAACAAGATTCTAAGCACCCTCTGTCTCTGTTCCTTCAAGTCTGCGACACCCAATCGCCATTTGTCTGGCAACACATGTATATCCTATCCGGCCAAATAGGGAAACGGGAGCAAGAAAAGGGACCGTGAGGGATAAAAAACGAACGCAACTTTTGGAAAACTCTCCTTCGCTCGGGTCATTTTCAATCAATTCGATCTCTTGACCGACCAAGCACAATGCCTTAAAAAAGCAAAGCTGACCAAAGCTGACAGAGCTACAGACGCTTTCGTTGTACTTTGTACAGAGAGAAAAAGAAAACTAATTGGCGCAAAATGAAGCAGAAAAGAGACTACGTCAATGGCAGGATACCACGCAATACGACGTCGCTTGTCACAGCACGTCGTATCAAATGGAGCGAGACGCAAAGCGGCCTTTCTTTTTTAAGGCAATATTTTGCCAAGATAATCTTACGCCTCTTCGCCTCCCTCACATTGGCAACAGGTAAGTACGGTTCCCAATAACAGTCCTCTACATGCGCAGGACACATGACGCGACGGAACGTTGGATACATCATAACAAGAAAGAAAACCAGGACCGAAGAGAAAAGTGGCAAAGGAAAGAAAATTCAACCACGACATGCCGCGCTGCATATGAGGAAAATCATACAGTACATACAATACAATATGACTGCAGCGACGGTCCAGCGGGGCAATATTAAGAACAGCAAAGGTGGTGTGAAGTGATCCGTCTGCCTCTCTTTCACACATAGACGAGGCGAAGAACGAATCAAAATCAACACGGGAGCATGTACGTTTTTCATGGCAAGCCAGCCCCCCCGCGCATGGGTATGCCGCGTCGCCCTTATAACCTACCAAGACAGGGACGGGGGAGGATGGCGATTGGCAGAAGTGAACAGAGAGATTCCGATACGGAGCAAAGTTGCATTTGGAGCCAGACGGAGTACAACCTCTCCGAAAAGGAGCCGGTACTCGACGTTGTCCAGAAAGAATATATTGCGAAAGAATGTTGACAAACGGGAAATAGACTACGCGGGTGTGCCCAAGGGAGGGGTGCCATCACGGCGGACAATTACGCTGTTCAGTTAGACGCTCGACCAGAGGATCACAACAGGATAGCAAAAATGGAAAGGAACTGCTGGTGGAGAAGGGAAGTGGATTTTGCTCGGAGTTGATTAGGAAGGCTTAAAGAACCAACAGCGCCGAAAACAAGCAAACTGTGTAAGGCACGTTGGCAAACAGCTGCTATTGACCAAAACAAACAACGGCCAGCCGGGGTGGGTTCAAATGGATGAGAAATACGCCGTGAAAACAAGAAAAGGGGATGGCCATATCAGGCCCCCAACACCCCGAAATCTGGGACCAACTGGCACAAAAAATGACGAAACAGCCCAGTTGGTCTGCTTTGTTGGTAAGATTATTTTCAAGTCGTGAATGCTCGCCCCCATTCGAAAAGCCCTGGACCCTGTCCACTTTTCGATCTTATCTTCCTATTTTACTGCTACACGGGCCGGAGCGTATTCCGTAGTGGGCGGAGAGGAGGGATGGGCGAGCGAAAGGTGATCACGGCCCCCAATACGTGCCCACTTCCATCCACCTCATTCCATATTTTCTTTTGTGACTGAGGTCGGCATTCACCGTACGACACCATTGAGATGGGCGTTGAACGGGTCGAGCTGCACCCTTTTCTGTCGCTGTGATCTGTCATATCTCAACAACACATCCGTTTTCTACAACGGACCATGCATCTCCCCATAAAAACTTCTGACATACGAACCACCCTCGTCACCGGCCTCCCCAAGGAAAGTCAATTGCCGCGTATTCGTATGCGTTTGGATGTCTGGGAGGCCCTCCATCGACCGAGTCACACTGGACAACTTTGCAAAGGCGAAAGGGCATCAAAGAGCGCATTGTGTCTGCATCGATCCACTCGCACCTTTTCTTTTCATGTTTTTGCGACCCATCTGTTCCTCCTTTTCCTTTAGCGCTCTCGACCGGAATCAATAGAGGGCCAGATGATAGACAGGGTGGCGAGTCACCACCTCCAAAGTGGACCCTGAGGACGTTGTTTTTAGTGCTCCGGTTAGCTCGGACGGCCTGGGGCGGAGCGCAAAAGTGGGGTCTAGAGCTCTAGTTGTGTCCCGATGCGGCAAGAGCCCGTTTTCAGGCGGATGCTGTAAGAAAGGAAGGAGTGAACAAGACAGAATACACACATTGTGATAGAATAACCACTGAAGCAAAGAGCCTGAAAGCAGCCAGTGTTGCATGCTCTGGCCCTCGTGTTGTGTTGCCACACGATCTGCATTATCGGTTCTCTGCTGGTTCGGACGAGGGAGACAACCGGCGAGATGGGAAGAGACGAGGCACACGAAAGGTAAGAGAAGAGTGACTGGCGATCGTGGGCTGCGAACCATAGGAATAATTAGAGGCCCTCCAGTTCTTCGAGCATCATTTGACAAACAATCGTGCAAAGCTTCTGCTGGGCAGCGATAAAAATGTATGCGAGTACTCCGAACCCGAAGATCACCTAATGAAATTTGACCTTCTCGTGGCTTGATTCACACAGTGGGCCATTCCTCCTCCTCATTTTAGCTGAAATCTGCACAAGGATGGTAACCAATCTGTTCACTTACACTTGTTTTGTCGCTCTCCCGTCGCATCCTCTCCACCCGTCCGGTTACCCCTTTTGCCAATCTTCCGCTCACCACGGACCACTCTCACAGGAGATTTTTGCTGTTCTCACTTTGTCTCACCGGTTGAAAAAGGTGCCATTCATAGATTTGAACGTAGCATTATGTTGAAAGACGGAGTGTGGTGTCCAACAAAGCCAGGGTCAAATAGTTCGACGCTCGTCGTACCTGCGCAGAATGAATCCTTTTCTCTCCAACAGCTTGTCTCCTTTCATTAATATTGTACGTTTTTGTCTCCAGGCAGGAGACGATCCCTTTCACTCGACTCATTCTTACTGCTCTTTCCAGGGGAAGAAGGCCCTGATACTAAACCCCCCTGTGCTTTGCTCCCTTGCATCTGACGTCCTGGGGCCTCTGGACCATGAGTCGGGGGCTCCACACCGAATATTTGTGCAGGATCTCTCCAAGCTAACGGGAGTTGTTGGCACTGTAAGTCTGGTTTCAACCCTGGAAACTCTGGCAGTTCAGGCGATTGGCCGTTTTTACACAGCAGGGGTTCGCACACCTTACCGTTACGAAGGCATACTGGGCAGAGCACGAGCTAAACTGGGTCATGAAGCCGAAAAAGATAACCCAGGTGCAACGTAAGGATTAGCAGGCCGGCGGCATTTCCCTGTTTCGGTGTCGACGGTGTGTATGTGTAAGCTAGGCATACTAGGCGACTACCGTAGACTATGCCAATAACCAGTTCAAAGTAACTCATGGGGTTTGCACCGCTTGCTAAAATGGCCCAGGTTCGGAAAGCAGGTTTCTTCCGGTCCAAGCCCGAGCAAAGTCGAATAAGTCCAGAGAATGAGAAAGGGCATGGACAACCAATTCGGCAAACATGAACGGGAGGACGATGTGAATCGTCGTCGACAGGTGCGGTCAGATGGCGGGTTTGTGCTGCCGAGCTTGTGTTGCAGGGACGGCGCGTCAGGTGTGTAAGATGGGATGAAATGACAATAATTATACTGCTCCAAAGCAGCTCAGCCTCTCTAGGGATATGATATATCCAAAAATTCTTATCTTTGTTGATGCTCTAGCGCAGGAGCACACAATGCCGCAACCTTGAACGCCGGGTAGAAACATAAATAACAAACGAAACAAAATACAACAAGCCGAAGGGCTAACCCAAGGTGTGAAGGGAACAAAAAAAAAAAAAAAAGGGGGGGGGGGGGCTCTGTCAACTCGGTGAGGGAGCAGAAAACCGTCGACTTTCAACTCATGCCCATTAACCAACAAAAAGAAGCACAGCCAGTTGAGAAAGCAAGGCGAAGAAGGAAGAAAAGAAGAAAAGAAATGGACTAAAATAGACAAAAGACGCCCCGAAACCAAATATCGGTGAAAAAGTAATAAACATAACCCAAACAATACTCAATACAATCCTATCGGGAAAGGATATATTCATTTTTTTTCGCCTCTGTCCGCTCGTCGTGGTGTCGACGTCTGCTGCGTTGGTCGCGTTGGTCGCGTTCGCGCGTTGGTGCGTTCGCCCGACGTTGCGGCGTTTGTCTAATCCTCCCATTCCTCATCGAGCTGGTCGATCAGACGGTTTTCGTCTTCGCGGTTGCGGCCGTTTGGCGAGGTAGACAGGGTTCGGTAGCCGTCCCGCTGGGGCAGGTACCGCGTGCACGTTGACGTCAAGATGATGACAAAGTCCTGTATCCAGGGGAACACCAGAAGAGCGAAAAAAAAGCACAGAGAAACAAAGTTAGTCGTAGCGTCCGTGTTGTTGGGGTTGGGCCAGCTTGGCGGCGGCAGAACCCCAGAACAGGTCGTCACCACCGGAGCCAGGCAGCATGCGGTCTTGCTCGTCGTCGTCGTCACTGCTGCCCGTCCCGAAAGCGCCTCTACCGCCGCCACTGCCAAAACGGCGTCCGCAGAGGATACGCACCCTGACAAAACTCCAGATGCCCAGCCAGATGGTGTGGTTCGGCAGCTGCCGCCAGCCACGCGCGTGGGCGACGGTGCGGTTGTAGGCGACACCGCCGATAAAGTAGACGAGCAGGGCGACGCCCAGGATGATGGCGAAGACGCCACCGGGGCCGACACTGCCCGGCTTGTGGGGCTCGACGCCGGCGCAGGCGTGGGGGGAGCGGATCTTGAAGAAGTAGGCGCACTGGTCGGGCGTGCCAACAAACGAGACATGGGCAGTCGTATCGACGGGGTCGCGATCACAGAGGAAGGCGAACGTGGCGGACTTCCGGCGGGTCGTCGACAGCGTAGAGGACGGCGATGACTGTGTCGAGAACATGGGCTCACTGTCAATCTCGCGCTTCACTTTGTCGTTGTACTTGTTCGAACGGCTGCTGCCGGACTTGTTGCTGAGGTCTGGACACGGTGAGCCGCCGGTGTACTGCAGGACAAGCTCGCGGCCGCGGGACACGAGCACGGACGATTCTTGGCTGGCTTTGTTAGCTTGTGACGATGCGGAGGAGGAAGGCAGGGAAATAGGAGGGTAACGGGGAGGAAATGGAAAACAAAGGAAAACAGAAGGAAAAGGAAGAGGTCCAGTCTGTGCCTCCGGTCATACCCCAACGAGAACGTGTCGCCATCCAGTTTGTAGTAGGCGCTCACGTTGGCCCACAGGTCGCGGTCGACGCCCTTGACGTCCTTGACAGGCTTCACGACGGCGGCACATATGTTGAGCGTAAAGTTGGCACCGTAGTCGTGGCCGCGGGCGACATAATCCGTCGTCAGCACGCCGGCCTTGGGCTTCTTTCCGCTCTCGGCGGGCGGCAGCGCAATGTCATGGCGCAGGTCGTAGAAAGCACCACTGGTCGAGGAAGCAGTGCAGGGAATGGTGCTTGTTGTCTTGGCAGGCGAGGTCGTGTCAGTGGGCGCAGCGATAGGTGTGGCGGCGGCGTTGGCGGCGGACGGCAGCGAGACCACTGCGGCCAGGGCCGAGAATATTAATGGTGACCGAGGGAGCTGCATTGTGCGAGAAGGCGGAGGATGATGACGAGAGTCGACGAGGGTATGGAGAGAGAGAGAGAGAGAGAGAGAGAGAGAGAGAGAGAGAGAGAGAGAGAAATTGAACAACAGCGCTCGCACGCTGGACGTCGGTCGTTGTCGCTCTTGGGTGCGAAGGGGTTATCGGATGCAAAGGGCTCTGGAGCGTAGAATACACGCCCGTGCAAGCAACCACCTGTCGGCCGGGATAAATTAGACTCGGCGGCGGGTCGTGTCAGCAAGGCGTAGGGCTGACGCAGGTTGGGTAACAATGCAGTGTGAAGAGTCGGGAGACGGATGCTTCCTTTCCAGAGGAACAGCAAACTGAGGATATCGTGAAGAGCGGCAGTGGTCGGCGATAGTCGACGAGTAGGGTGATGAGATAAAGACGAGATGGCAGCTGATGAAAGTGGGAGTGTTGACGAATCTTCGAAATAGGAGAAGCGAGGCCGCGCAACGTCGCCAAAGACACCTCATTGGCTCACTGGCGGCACGCAGCCTCCTTTTGGCCAATCAGCGTAAGAAGACATAATTATGTGATTACGTAAAATTCTCTTTCGCTGTGATTCGTTCGCACTTTCTACATTTAGCGTGTTTGGCGAAGAGATCGTCCCTCTACTTGGCTGCGAGCGGCAGGAAGCCACCCGGCAGTGACTAACCGACACTGCTCACACAGCTCGAGACATGTGAAGTTGTGAAACAGGACAACAGACACGCAGGGCAATTCATGAGTTTTGTGCAAAGAGTTGCTTGTCTTCTCCATCTTCCTATATCTCATCTGTCCATCTCCAAAGACTGCTCTTCATCATATCCGCTTGCCTTTGGTCACCAGCTGCGGCCCATTCAGGCCAACACCCAGCAGAAACGCGAGCCGCATCGACGCGCCGACGTACACAAACGGCACGTTGCCCCAACCCATGGCGTTCCACTGGTCTGCGCGCCAGTAAATGTCACCTCCGAGCGGCCGCAGCGAGTACAGGTGGCCCAGGTCGGCCACCAGCAGGCCAAACAGCAACGTGCGCCACACGCGGCGGTCGGCGGTGGTGCGCAGGACGAGGGCCTCGTTGAGCGTGAAAAGCAGGTACAGGTTGGCCAGCTGCGAGAGCACGACAGACGTCACAATGGGGACGTTGCCGGCGGCGTCAGTCGTGGTTGACGCCGCATGCGTCATGGCCAGGTAATCGTGTTGGCGAAAGTGCGCATAAAAAGCGCCGGCGAGGGCCGCAATGGGCTCGATCGTGAGAAAAAAGAGCCGGTAGAGGGCCGGCAGCGGGACGGAGGCCGTGACCGGCGTCGGCCTTTTCTTGGCTTCGGGCTTCTTTGCGTCGGACATGGCGGTGCAGCTGTGGGCAGGAGGCGTCGCTAGAGAGGTGGTAGGGTCGAGGCTGGCGAGAGTGTCGGAATTTGCGATTGAGGTGAAAGGTGAGATGTGCAAGAAAACTGGAGGCGGAACTAAAATGCGGTGACGCACTGAGCTAAGTCAGGCCCGCTGCGAACCACCCTAAAATCCCAACATGCACTACAAATCGTATCCACGGATGAGACACGCATGCAACATATCCTCGTCAGAGCGTCATACGTAAGCAGTTTGTAAATGTAAAATCTGTGTACCACGTACAACATAGTCCGAACAGAGATGAATGGTCGCCCAGATCGTATTTGAAAACATTGGCACTCGCCAAACCGCTTTTTAGACTGTCCCTGCTCTCATGCACTTCGCCATGACTCGTCTGTGTTCCATATCAAATATCTACCCTGCTGAAACTGGTCTGATGAGCAGCCAAATAATAGGATGGTTACAGGAAGTCAAGAAAATGAAAGTCAGTAGAAAAATACGACGCCAAGACTGAGGTTTTAAATCACCATCGATCGTTGTTTCGTTGCGGTCACTCTCTGATCATCATGAACGAGAGCATGTTTGTTTTAGAGTGAGATATAAACTAGAGGAGTGGCTAAGAAAGGCGAACAATAATAATTAAATATATGAAATGAAATTATAAGGGAAGTTGATCTTCTCAGAATAACGGGATGAAAAAAGGACCCCAAAAAATTCTATAACTAATAAGAAGACAAAGTGTACATCGTAGACAGAAGCAATCTCAAAGTGTATACAGAGAGCATTCGGATGCTTTGGGCCCGCGATGGGCGGCGACGACAACAACGATCAAAGCGCCGAGCACCGTTTCAACATGACCGTGTACAGCCACTCAAGCCCCCAGCCTGAGAAGCATGGGCTTTTGAGGGTGTCCTCATCTTTTTGCCAATCATTTTCTTTCCTGTTTCCGGGAATCCCCTGACGACGTGCAGACCTTCACTTTTGAGGACAAACAAACCTAACGTCTGATTTCACTCCGATCGATCCGTGCTGCAAGTCCGATGTGTACGATGACGACCACATGCCCCGTATTCAATCTTTGTAGCGGATCCAATTGAACTGATTTGATATTTTAAATGTGCTTGTAAAGTCTAGGATACGAAAACGGACTGTGTACGTAGCAGTGTAGAAAATCTGTGGCCAAGGCACAATCATGTTCATTGTAACAAGATACCATTTTCATTTTCATTTATGTATATTATTCGTATTCTAGGGCGTGTCGATTTCTCACGCTGTCTTTTGCTTGCATCTTTGCCGAGTTGCGCCACCTGTTTGCCTTGTGCGCAACCTGGACACGGCAAAATGCGGTTTTGCGCCGATCAAACCGTGTCAGAACAGGCTCTTCCCTAGGGAAAACAAGAAAACCGCAACCGCTCTCGTAACCGCCTGCCCTCTGAGCATGACTCGTCAAGCTCGTCAATTTCAGACATCGTCTCAAACTCGTCGTAACTTTCCTTGGCCGGATTGACAGGGCGTAAATGCAAGTTGACGCGACAAACTCACCCCCTGCTCACTCTGTGCACCTGTCTGGTACATGACTCTGACATGCGACGACCTCTTGGCCATGCCCAGGCTTTGCTGCCTGCGTGTTTCTGGATGACGATTCAACCGCGTAGACCAGCATAACTCGCTTCGTCATATACCTCGTCCAGGCTTTTTTTGTGCCTCGTGTCCACTCCGCCTGTGTAGTCGTGATCCTCGTCAGGGGATAGAAAGATGGCAAGACGACACATGGCGGTCGTTAGAGGATGAATGGTGATGTGTAAGGAGATCCGAAAAAAAGAAGCGCAGGTTACCGCCCGTGCGATTGTTTACTCCTTGCGGCCTGTCCATGACAGACCGCGAGAGGTACAAATAGAACAGACTCGTCCATCAAGCGTCATTCCCATCCTGTTTTGATCCTCATCCAGCAACTCAACGTCCAAAATTCTTTTCTCTTCTTCTCTTGCATTCATTCACTTTTACACGACCCGGTGTCGTCAGTTTTATTACACTATTTAATCTCGTCTACTACAGTACTGTGTACTTTTCTTCAAACCGCCAACATGGTTCGCATCGCTGTCGTCCTTTCCTGTACGCATCCATATCTACCTAGCCCCTCCTGCAATACTTCTTTTATTTTCTCTGCTAACCCTCGTCTTCCAGTCGCCGTCTCGGCCCTCGCCCTCGTCACCCCCAACAATGCGGGCGCCAAGAACGTCGGTGCCGGCAACGGTGCCCAGTTCATCACCGGCGGCTGCGTCAACAACGCCGACTGCGGCTCTGCCTGCTGCGCCAACAACGGCCAGGGTGCCGGCGTGTGCTCGGCCGAGGCCGCCGCGCTGCAGAATGGCAAGCAGGGCTGCGGGTTTGCCGACCCCAACGCAACCGCGACGATTGCTGCCGCCAAGGCGCAGGTGGCTAAGCAGGGCTTCTAAGGTGTTTCAGAGACGCAACAACTTGGAAAGGTTAAGGTTTCGTAAGGCGGCGTTTGGGTTTAGTTTTGGCACTTTGGACCGTCGGGAGTACGGCCAACGATAGCATTGCTCTCATGACGAGATTAGAGAAAAAAAGAACGAAAATCAATAAAACGATAACCAAGAAGGTGTCGACCCATTTGTCGGATGCTCGTAAACATAAGACCATAAAAGAGAGCTGGCTCTTGCATAGCTAAGGAAGCAAACCGCAAAACAGCAGCCGGGAAAGATAAAGCCATTATGAATGAAAAAAACAACAGAAAACGGATGTTGCGCCAAGATACAAAAAAACGATAAGAAAGCCCAATCCTGGCCGCCGTCCATCATGAGCATCGTGCGCCAAAGACGTTTGCCCTTTTCATTTTTCTCGTGTTTTCCTAAATGGTAGCTTGCGTAAAGCATACCAACTCGCCGGGTATCATCAAACAAATAACAAAAAGACGTTTACCGCGCTCGTAAAGCGAGCGGCCATTCTTCGTCAAGACCGTCGTCGTTGCGACCGCACCACGTACTCATCTCTGTGACGGTACCGGTCGTGCCGGATGCGGGTGGCCGCCAGGTGGTCCCAAGGAAACAGGACGGGCCGTAATGTCTCCCAGCGTGTACCGTAGCCCAGCGCGCGTGGGTCGCCCTCCTTGAAGGGGTACGGGTTACCAACGGACTCAGCCCAGACGGCTTTGCTAGGATCGGCCTTCTTTTTCTGGACGGTCTTGGGGCCGCCCGCCTCCCCACTCTCCTCGCCGTCGCCCCGTCTCACGATGACCATAAAGTCCTCGCCCCGGATCCGGCTGTCGTGCACATCCTCCAGCGTCTCCATGGGCCACAGGGCCTGGCCGCCGCGCACACCATACACGGAAATGGTGCTGCGCGGCGTGTCGCCCTCGTAGAAGCCTTCGTCAATCACTGCGTCGATACTGACGCTCCAACCAGCGGCAACGGACGAGTTGACTGCGTCTCTGGTCGTGTCGTTGTTGTTGTTGTTGGCCGGGATGAGGCCGTCGCGCTCGGTCAGCAGGTGCCGCCAGCGCGGAAGGCGGTACTCTTTGCGGGCCGAGTAGGACGCAAACAGGCTGCCGAGACGGCGGTGGCGACGGTGCTGCGGCATAAACAGCGTCCCCTCGCCTTCTTGAAGCTCCTCGTCCTCCTCCAAGAACAGGAGCCGTGCGGCCTCTGCTTCCTCGAGGTCGGCCCGCTCCGCCTGTGCCAACCGCTCAGCACGCTCGGCGGCCGCAAACACGTCGTCGTACGTATCCATGTCGGCATCCCAGAAACCCATGTTGACCATCATCGCCTCGACCGAGCTGGGGCGGTGCTTGTCTGCGGCGAGCATGTTCGTGTCGTGGTGCACGTAGCACAGCTCCTTCCAGCCACTTCCTGCATGCAGCAGCTCGGTGAGCATCTCGTGTGGAGCGGCCAGGCTAACGGGCGGCGGAGGGTGACTGGTGACACTCATGTTGTACATGTTGACGCTCGGGAGGTTGTGGCAGCGCGTAGACTTGTGAACGCGGCACGGCAGTGCGGGCAGGACGGTGAGGCGGTCGAGGCAGAGGCCCGGAAGCAAGCGCATAAGACCACCGAGAAGTAGAAATCGCTGTCGAAACTGTTGCTGCGGCTGCTGCTGCTGCTGCTGCTGTTGTGTGGAGGAGCTGGCAGACGACAAAGGCGTCGAGTTGTCTTCCGGGACGGTTGGTAGGGGCAGCAGAGATGGCAGTCTCTGGTGGACAAACAGGCCGCCCTCGCGCACACGCACCTCGCGCACCAGGCTGCGCTGGGCTGGCGTTGCAAAGACGCCACCCAAAACGTCCAGCATCGTCGCGGCGTCTTCAAAGTTGAACAGGACCTGGCCGATCCAAGCGTTGTCGCTGATGAGCTCGCGCGTGATCTGGCGACAGACGAGAAAGAGCGCCATCGAGTGGCGCGCGGGCTTGACGTGGGTAGTGACTCGACCAGGCGTCATCCGGCACTGGCTGTGCTGGACTTCGTCGGCCTCGTCAGGCTCCGGCGACAATGTCCTGGACGACGACGCAGATCCCGAGCACGGGGAGTCCGTAGGCGGTGCACATGTGACGCGTCGGCCCATGGTGAGGCGTGTCGAGTAAAAGACATAGGCGTAAATCTCGTCGCGAATTTCCTGGGGCAGAGTCAAGAGGCGACTTGTCTGGCACTGGCCAAAGGCGCGTGTTGGCTTGGGATGTGTTGTGACCATGGATTGGTGCTGTGGGTGGCGGCTGTTGGGATAGGACTGGCCGACGTCAACCATGGTCGGACTACCGCGCGCGGTCCCATTCTCGTATCTGTTCTCATATTTGCTCTCATATTTGTCCTCATATTCATGATCATACTTATAACCACGACTGTTTCCACGATTGAAGCGGTTGGACAGAGATGAGCTGCTGCGCAAATCCATGTCCGAGGTGCTGTGCAGCAGCTCAATGTGACGGATACTGCGGATGGCCCGGAGGACTGGTTGCGAGATCTTCTTGGAGATGCTCACAGGGTACGAGGAGTTGACAGAGTAGGCGGCTTCCTGCGACGATTCTGCGTAGCACGTACTCCGGGATACGGACCGGGCAGTTTCCGCAACACTTTGACGGCCATCCAAGAGGCCGTCTGTGTCAAGGATTTCGCGTCTCTTTCCAGGCCGTTTCCACCGCGGGAAGACCGGCCGCACAGACAGTTTTCTTACAGCGTTAGAGAGGCTACTCGAAAATCGATCGCGAAGAATGAGAAACAAACTCACCTCTTGCCATCATCGCGGTGGCTGAACAGTGACCAATAGGCCACATTGGGGCTGGAGTCGCAACACGCCATGGCAAGATCTGTGAAAAAAATGGCGGAAGTCTTGCGTGCTGCCGGTGCCTTCGTGGTGAAATTGACAACAGATGAGATGTAGATGGTACAACCAAGGCAACAACTCCCCGCGGCGATGCTGGTCTCGACGACACCCTTGAGCTTTAATATATGCTCAATGGGCGTAAAAAGGGCCCCTTCAGCAGTCGTAAGCGCCGTCTCCCTTTACTGAGGCTGTATCATATGTTGTTGTAGCTATTTGTCGTCCCCCGTTTGGATGCCGTTTGCCATCTGTCGTTTGGTGAGTCCTCCACGTCGGCCCCGTTTGCATTTGCGTGTCTGTTCTTCTTCGCTGTGGTGGCGGTTTGCTTTCTTCGTCCGCTTGCCTGGGTCTGAATGTGAACTTGCCGCCCTTTTGGTTGATTTGTTTTGCCCGGGATGCTTGCTGATTGAGAGTCGCGCGTTGGCCCAAGCAAGGAGCTAGGTGAGATGGAACGTACCTACACAATGACGAGAACGAAACAAAAGAAATATGAAAAGAAAGCAGAGTGAAAAAGCAGGGCAACAGAAAATAGCTGATGGAGACCGAATTAAACCTCCGACGCGTGTCTTACACCCTCTTAGCATTGGCGGAAAAAACAAACCAAAAAAGGAAAGAAAGAAGGGGGAAATGATGCGCTTGAGAAAGTCTCCCTGCGTCTGTCGGTTTTCTTTTATTTTCTATTTTCTGTTCACGCCATCTCTTCTTGGATGAGCGGCTGCGTACGGAGTACGGAGTACACGTTTTTGTCGTTTTATATGCTCTGTGCATGCAGGGTGCTGGCTGCAAACAACTTTCGAATGTGACAGATGCGTCCTAGCTTCCAAGCTATCCTGGGACTTACATGAGATTTACATGCGGCTTTACCCAATGCCCTCCCTTGGCCCCTGTCGTCGATACCCTCATGTGGCCCCGCCTCTCCCTTTTGTGAGAGCGGCTCCCGACTTTTTGGCTTTCGCTGGTCGGTATATTTTGTTCGTGCCCGCTTCGCACATCCTTTTATGTTCGCGCATTGCTGCCCGCTTCATTGGACACCCATGTCATGAATTCCATTGTGCGTTTTCTCGTGCGATCCTCCCTCACATGTCGACCCTGCGAGGGGACCAGGAGGGGGGATGTTCACACCTTGCATGACGGGCCAAGCTCGTGGTCGGGTGGTGGACCAAGCAGCAAACATCACGCAAAAAAGGCAGACGGACCCTGCGCGGTGGCTCGAAAAAGACAAGTGGGCTGTGGGGCGAACAGACAGCAGCGAGAACGGCGAGCAGAGTGCACTCCATACAAGGTATGAGCACAGGGCAGCAAGTTTTGTGGGCAATCGTGCATGTGTGAGCACAAAAAAACGGCGGATGGAGCAAGGCTGCAAGGGAGAGGAGCCTGCCTGGGAAACCTCACGAAATGCAAGAGATCAGCGAATGGGCAAAACCGGAGGCTATTGCGTTACGCACTTGCACGAAAGGCGGAAAGGACTAGACGCAAAATGAGGAAAGAAAGAATTGTTTGGAAATTACAAACGAAATAGGCTGACAATTGTTGGTGACATGCCCGGAAGGCAGGAAATCGTGGGCGAGAAAAACAAAAAAAATGACAATATGAAAATAGATAGTATTGGAAGGGAGCGAGAACACAAGCAAAAAGCTAGAACAAACTCAGCAAGGAGGCGGGAAACATGGATCATCAGACAGGGGTGCGTTTGGCGGAGAGGTTGAGTTTTGTTGAATTCGGGAATTTTGGTGGCGGCGAAAGGGCGACAGCTGGTCGCAAAAAACAAACAGAATGGTGACGTGCACAGGTGAGAACAGGGGGAAAGACAAGGAGACAGCCAAAAGGGGGGGAAGAAGGAACATGCAGAGAAAACCAAGGTGAACAAAAAGGCGATGACAAGTGTTGTTCATGTGTGTACCAGCCTTTTCTGCTGCCTGTGTTGGTGTCCCTTCTGTTTGCTTGGGCCTCCTTTGGCTCTGACCCCAACATGCAGTATGCAAGGTGCATCACATCAAGGCCTCCCTTTTCTGGCTGGTGTGCATTCTGAGTGCATTTTCTCGTCCTCAACAATGTGCCCTTCTCCGATACTGGAGCGATACCCCGTCTTCCCTCTCGGTTTCTCTTTATTTTCCCTCGCCAAAGCAGTTTGGCGCAAGGAGGCGGGAGTGGGCGAGAAAGGGTTTTGCGGTCAGATCGCGCTCGTGTCGCCGTCTCCGTCTTGGGCTTGCATTGAGCGTGTAAGTGACATCGGAGCCGAAACGCCGCGTCATAACTCGTCAAATAAGGCACAGCAAAAAGAGTGTTGGCCACGCATATCGATCGCCAAACAAGCTCGGTTCATTCGTTTGCTGCACTCTCCATCTTTGAAATATGTCCTTGTAGCTTTCGTCTCAACTGTGTCGAGTTTTAGTTCTCAATCACAAGGTTGCCCTTATTTCCTGAGATGATAGTCAGGACATGCAGACCCTGCTTTTAACTAAGGTTAAGGGAGATGGCTTTTGAAGGTCCAAATCAAAGCAAGACATCCGCCACGACCAGCGTGAGACATGCAAGTTGAGACAAGCGCAAGGCAAAAAATAGAAGCAAGACATGGGCCCAGTCCTTAGGGCCCTCTAGTGTTACTGCCCACGCTGACGTGGAGCATCTAAGTGAGCTTGGAGGGGCGTGCAATCGGCGTGCGAAGAAGTCGAAATGGAGTAAGGTCACAACCCGGCCCGAGACAAGACATCGATAGAGACAATCAATAGAGACAGCAGAGTGCAGTGGTAAGTACAGAAGCGGTTGCTCCAGACGCACCTCCCAAAGCCGTTGATGTCGTTCATGTCCGTTCACAGATTGTCCGACTTGAAGGACTCGTCGAGACAAACAATGATGCGGTGGGGAAACGATGCTCCATGTGGCTGTACACATGTATTGACATGTGTTGTGAGCTGCGATGCAATCCACCACATGTCATCATCTGTCGGCCGGCGCTCGACCGTGGTGTCAATTTGTGTGGTTGGCGCGGTTAACCATAAAAGAGGGAACGATTTTGTCGTCGCCGACATCGACGCTGTCCTTACCAAGGCATGGCTGCTCATGGTCTCTCCTTGCACAAGACTGCACGCCCGGTTGCTGGCTGGAAAAGGTTGGGACATCGATCACCGCGGCGTCGCATGGCGAGCACAAGCCGCTCAAGTCACCTGGTTGCCGGCCTTGCGTATGAAACAGCCCCCGCTGCAGAGTTCCGTGCATTCTCTCAAAAAGCCACAAGATGCATGTTGTATGCGAGGGGCAACTCGTCGTCCTGCTTCGCGACCCCAATGATACACGCAGATGTTGGTTCGTCGAGCTCTGGCCTCCTTCACCAACACCCCGTTGTCGGCGGCCTGGCCACGTTGAAGATGTTCTTTGTGGCCGTCTGTGGCGATTCGTGCCAATGCGTTGACAGTCTGGGTCTGTTCGCACATGCAGGCAAGTCCATGCGATGCAACAGCGAGAAGGATGGAATGTTCAGTGCGTTCTGCAAGACGGGAAAATGAGGGGAAGTTGAAGAAAGAGCCAGGAGTATCAAGCAAAACAGAAGAAGACAAAAAGACGAGGCAGATGCATCGCCAATGGCCTCGTTGCAGGTTTGGATGAGCTGAAGACAGACACGGCTGTCAACCTCCACTACAATGATTCAGACCAACGAACGACGCATTGTTGGCTTCACGGCTGGTGCATATGGGTGCGTTCTGATTCTTTCGTTGCCATGTTTTCATATGTTCTCAATTTTAGTTTGACGGTCCTCGCTCTGCCCTCGCCCTTTTCAGATATCCACGTTCGCCCCCTTTTCTGTGTTGTCAGATTTGCCAGTCATGGGCAGTCGTTCCTGCCATCTCGCCAGTCCTGCTTGACTTTGGCCGTGGCAGGTGCTGATTGGCTCATGACGGGAAGGTGCAGCACACATGCATCGGTTGAGAGACTGCCTCGCATGTACCTTCAAAGTCCACCGCATTCTCGTCCTTTCTTACTCAGATCTGCTATTCGCTCGTGTTGACATGCCCGCCTCTTCGCTCCTTCTGCTTCTGTAGACGGCGTGGCCGAGTCCGCTGACCGGCTGCTGGCCTCGGCCTGGCGCAGTTTCCTTTTTTCTTCCACGGCCAACTTCATATAGTGGCTGGTTCTCGGTTGATCGACACGCTCGCACGATTCTTGCCTGTGCCCGACTGAACCGGAACTGGGGGTTCCCATTCGCCTAGACAGAAAAATTTCGCCTCTCGCTCAAAGAAAAGAAAAACTGTGAGAAGTTCTAGTTTTTCTAGCGCCCCCAATTGCCAATCCAGCAATAGAAGGCGCGGCCGTTGCATTTCATGGCGGCGTGGCGGCGCTGGTTGGTCGCGACTCCTATTTTAGTGCGAAAAAGTCTGCTTGCAAGGGCGAATAGACAAAGACAGCAGGAGCACAAGGAGAATAGGGGAGAGGGAACCCCGGTGGCTCTTTCCGAATTTAAGGTGCGGCAAATCAAGGGGGCCCTCTTTCCAAGACCAAAAACCCGTGTCCACTTCCGTGGAACCCACCTGGTTCGTGGAGCCCCTTCTGTTTCTCCAGACTTTTCGCTTCACCCGCGTTCTTGACGCTGTTTTTCTCCGTCTTTGCCTCCTTTTCTTTTCTTTTTAGTATCACGAACTTTTGCACGCCCGCGCAATTGATTCTTTTCTCTCGTTTCTGTCTTTTCCTTTCGACGTATTTTATAATTTTTGGCCGTCGTTGCGGCATTACTCTCCTCGTCCAAATTGGCCACTGCTCAGCGCAAGTCGCACTGGACCAAACCCGACCCCTGCTAATTTCGCCCAAACCCAAAACACCAAAACACCACGACAACCAAAAGGGAACGACCAAAACAAAAGCCCGTCCCGTGCCCAACACGCTCGTTGTCCTCCCATCCCGCGACCGTCGCGACTCGCTGTTCTTTCGTTCTTCGACATCGCGACAACGCCTTGCATGTTTTCCGCTTTCGCCTCTGTTTCGGCCCTTTAAATCCCGCCCTCCCCCCCGACCGAATCTTCGATCCATTTCACCATTCCAACGACACTCGGTATGGCTGGCCTTGGTTCTGGCAACAGGACGCGGAAGTTTGCCCGGCTGAGCATGGATGATTTCCACCACCCGGCTCATGGCGTTCGTGGCGTTGGCGTTGGCGAGGCCGGCGCGAGTTCCGAGCGCTTCAATCGGTCTCAGAGTCTGGCAATGCACATGGGCGGCTGCGCGGTCGAGGATGGCGATGACGACCACGACGACGATGCTGAGGCTGAGGCGGGCCATCATGCCTCCGGCTCCTCGTCGGCACCAGGAAAGAAGGCCATCAAGGGCATGATCCGCCGTGCTTCGGTCTCTCTGCACGACTTCATCCAGCGTCGCGCCTCCTTCGCTGGCGGCAAGACCGCTTCGACTGCCGACGACGCCGCCAATCCCGGCTCCCACTTCCTTCCCAACCGCATCCTTCGCTCCTCTCATGCCCACTCGCAGTCCCAGTCCCACGCGCAGGGCAAGCTGCCTGTTCGTTTGCAGCCTGCCAACACAGACGCTCGGCCGACGACGTCACACAACTTCTCCAGTTGGCGTCGTGTTCGCCAGGCTGCCAGCTTCCGGCACTCGCGTGTCTTTGACAGCGAGTCGTCCTCGGCTGCGGGCGTCTCAGAGTCTGGCTCGGCAAATGCCTATGGCGAGACCATGGCCCCCGAATCCATGGACTATGCCATTCGCGAGTCTTGCGACTTGGATGGCGACTACCACCGCCTCGCACCGACGTTGTCTTCGTCAGCGCCCCTGCCTGGCGGGCTGTCGTCGATGCATGGCCCGCCTGTTTTCCGGTCACGCCCGCCTATCATCCCGCCTAATACAGGGGGTGCCGCTCGCGCGGCTGCTGCTGCCGCCATTCAGACGGACATCCTCCAGGTGTTGCAGCCCAAGTGGCTTCAGCAGGACGAAGTCGGCAACGACCGTGAATCCGGCATTGGTATTGCCATTACATCCACAGAATCGGACAGCGCCGACGAGGCCAATGGACAGGAGTCGTACAGCGCCTTGAGTTGCGCTTCTGGGGTGGCACCTCAGCTTGATGTGGCCAAGGTTGACTTTGTTGGTAACCTGCCAATGGAGCTGGCCATCATGATTCTGTCGGAACTGGATGCGGCGGGCCTTTCTGCCGCATCGCGCGTGTCGCGTGCGTGGTTCGATGCTGTCCGGAATCAACACATCTGGCGCGAGTCTTTTCTTCGCGAGAAGACCACCACCTACGCTACCAGCGGACCTGTCCAGCCGGGTGTCGGCCTTGGTGTGCCGCCCATTCGCCCTTCGTGCGATTGGCGTCAGATCTATCGCGTGAAGCAGGAACTCGACCGTCGCTGGCAGGAGGGGAAGACACGCCCTGTCTACCTCAACGGCCATTCTGATAGCATCTACTGTTTGCAATTCGACGAGTACGTCCACAGCCCTATGTTTTCTCCAACGAAAATACAAGCGCCGTCATGCTAACCAATTACCTCTAGACAAAAAATTATTACGGGCTCTCGTGACAAGACTATCCGTATCTGGGACATGAACACCCTCGCATGCCGTCTTGTCATTGGCCCTCCCGAGGTCGTGCGCGACCCCAAGCTCCTCTACGACGACGACGGCCAGCCCGCTCACTATATCACAACGGCTTATCATACCCGTAGCTCGAACAGTATGCCCGCAGCGGTCAGCTTCCCTATGCACCACTCGGCCTCCATTCTCTGCCTGCAGTACGATGACCGTATCCTCGTGACTGGCAGCTCGGACTCGTCGTGCATCGTCTATTCGGTCAAGTCGGGCTATCGCCCGATTCGTCGCCTCCTCCACCACACGGCGGCTGTTCTCGACCTTTGCTTCGACGACCGCTACATCATCACCTGCAGCAAGGACGTCACCATTTGCGTCTGGGATCGGGAGACCGGTGCCATGCTCAAGCAGCTGCGAGGCCACTCCGGTCCCGTCAACGCAGTCCAGATGCGTGGCAACACAATCGTGTCGTGCTCGGGTGATTTCCGCGTCAAGCTGTGGAACATCGAGACTGGCAAGGCCATTCGCGAGTTCACGGGCCACACCAAGGGCCTGGCATGCAGCCAATTCTCCGAGGACGGGCGTTTTGTGGCGTCGGCGGGTAACGACCGCGTCATCCGCATCTGGGACGCGAACACCGGCGAGTGTGTGCGCGAGATGAAGGCGCACGAAAGCCTCGTCCGCAGCCTGCACATCGACTCGGTGTCGGGCCGTCTCGTCAGCGCCAGCTACGACCGCGACATCAAGGTTTTTGACATGGAAACTGGCCAGCAGCTTCTGGACTTCCCGCAGTGGCACCAGAGCTGGGTGCTGAGCGCCAAGAGCGACTACCGCCGCATCATCAGCACGGGTCAGGATCCCAAGATTCTGGTGATGGACTTTGGCGCTGGCATTGACGGCATTGACATGCTGGAGACGGCCGATGCGAACGCGGCCATATGCGCTTCCACTTGCGCGACGGGTGACACGACAGTCGCAACTAACGAACACATGAACTGGATGCCGACCGTGCTGGATGCCCCTCCTCCACAGGCAGCACACGAAGCTGCGACTGCCTTTTAACGAATTTCCTTTGTGACGACTGCGCTGTTTACTTCTTTTCCTCTGACTCTTTATAATTTCTCGTTTTGGATACATATAGGACATTACATGGCATACATTTTGAGGTGGTGTTAGAACTTGGTTTTTTTGGGGGGTTTTTTTTTTTGCGTTTACACATAGAAGTTGGGCGACCGTTTGGTCTACGTACCAGTCGTCCACACTTTTGCACCCTTGGATCGATCACATAGTGCTGGATTGCTCTGATGGAACTCTTGGGTTTACTGTCGGCTGCTTTCCTGTCATTTTCTTACTGACGTTTTTTTTGTTGAGTTATTTCCCCTGCAAGCATTGCCAACGGCGTTCATAAAACTAGACGGGCTGGTGTTTGTCTTTTTTGCGTCTTCATCTTGGCTTCTTACTTCTTGGCACCCAACGATAGAATAATTGACCTGTTTTGCATTACACTTTTGGGCAAATCTCCTAACTCACACTAGATCTGATCTTCACTTTTCGAGATCAGCCATATGAGTTTAAAAAAACCTATAGTCGCACTCGACCGGTCCTTTAGTCCGCGATACTACACCGCGGATTTCCGGTCGACTTGAAAATGCCAATCACCCTCGTCAGAGAACATGTGAATAAAGGAGGCATGATGTCCCACCGTACATTGGGCCATGGTGACGAAACGTTGCCCTCCTGTTCATGGCACCCTCCTGTTCATGGCAGATCGATGACAGGCATCGTGTAGCACTTGTCCGGGCCTATCTCGGAGCGGGATGGGGACCACGAAATGGGAAGAAGGGTGCAAATAACCTATTTCTCCGCACGACGCGCCGGGTGGACTGTGGATATGACGATACTCATCCAGCAGGAAGCCTGGGGAAGCCGGTGGCAGATGCCATGCGAAGATCTTGGGAAGAGCAGAAAGTGGAGAACACATGCAGACAATTTTGAATACCCCGGAGATCAATGGTGAGTTGGCGATACTCCCCGGCGCGATGCGGCGTTATTACCAGAGTTGCAGTCGGACGATCGCCGCCTGGCTAACCGTAAAGCCACACCTGGTCCGGTCTTCTCCACAGGACAAGAGGAGGCTCAAAGGGGGCTGCATATCTTAGTCTACCTCGTAGGGCCTCATCTCTCCTAACGCGTGGATCTGAACGGATATCGGATGGCCATGATGCTGGAGAAAAGGGCAGTGACGCGCAGACGTGCGGCCTTACGGTGGCGTATTGTTCAATTACGGAGTGGAAATAGGAGGAATTACACTGGGCTTGTGACATATAGTTGAAAGGCGTCTATGGAAGAGAAACCAAATTCGAAGCGGATGCATGATGAATGAAGTTGCCGTCGATGCGAAGGCCCTCGATGTCACACGTTTTCACTTAGACAAGCGTAGGGGCCTGGAGAGCCTATGCATGAGCACAGTGGGGAGACAATCTGCATTGCCATCCAATGTACTATTATTGTACGACATACTTTATTGACCAAAATCAAGGGGACGCAGTATGGTTTCGAAACAAGGACAACCGACGATAATTTACCAATCGAGGCCCTAGGAAAGAACCGCAACGGCCATGCTTCGTAGTCACAGCCACAGCCAGCCAATCCAAGCACAAGCTGCGATGGGATCTCGCCGAGAAATCATGGGAGAGGAGAAGAGATGGGACAAGCATAGGGGACCGGCACAAGGATAAGTGACGGGGATTGCAAGGAGCGCATTGTCGAGATACACAGGCAATCTACGACACAGATCATCAAATGAGGAGAGCGTAAACACGCCAGGGAGGGGAATGCCCTGGAAGGCGCCGAACAATAGGTCATGGGCAGCCGCCGCACGATGTTTCACGAACGCAGAGCTAGAGGGCATGGTCCGGCAATATTCGTCGTTAGTGGCCTGGGGGGCCTGGCGATTTCCGGAGGCTGTAATTACGTCGCACGGAGGCTTACTCTTTTGTTGACGGACAGGGGCTCGATGCCGGGAATCTGATCGGATGTGGCGCAGAAACAACTTGACTTGTGCGCAGCCAAACAAATGCGCATCTCGGGACATGGAGCCCAAGATCTTGAGGTTGTGCAAGGAGGATTGGATTGCATGCCGCTGGCAGCGGTCGATGCAGGAAAACGCACACAGACGTAGCAGTGCAACAACGGTGCAAGATGCAACGTTGTGCATCGTCAAGTCTGTTTTGGGACTTGTCGGATGTCTCTTCTCTGGATTGGCTGTGTTCGCCTTAACCTTGCAGGCAATCGCAGCTTCATTTTGTCCCTTTCTGATTCTACTGATTCTCTTTTCTTCGCCATTTTCCAGGGTGTGATGCCCCGAGATCGACGAGAGGCACATGATGGCTGCCATCGTCCGGCCACATTTTCGGAGCAGATGACCACACTTCTGTCTCGTTTCTTGGTATTTCGCTGAGAAGCGTGACGAGAGGAAAGTCCTGCTTGCCGCTTTTCCGCTGTGATGAGACAGTTGTCGTGGATTCACAGCAAGGGGTAAAGGCTCACGATGGCCAACAAAACGTGCGAAGACTCCTAAAAACAGAAGAATTCATACGTCAGAAAGGCCCAATAGCTGAAGGCCACAAAAAAAGAACATGGTCGAAACATGGGACAACAGATCAGATGGTGTGCTGCCAATCAACTGGTGGCAACGGGGCCGTTTTGAAACACGTCTACTTTGTGATCTGTGCGTCTGTTAATGGGTAGAATGCTCTGAAAGAAGGTGACTACCAGTCGTTGGGGGCCGTGGCCGTTTGCTTTTTTTCCAAAACAAGGGGAATGCGGAATGGAGGCAATGGAGGCAAACGGCAGAATACCTGATTGGTGGTTGGAGGTGGCCCAGCCACATGGGCTGCGGCCAAGAGCTGTGCCTGGAAATGACCTGACGTGCGATTCAGGCCTCAATGGTAACTGTAATAGGGTGCGCTTGGCGAGGCATCACAAGCTTCCAAAGAGACAACAATGGCTTGTAATCGGAATTCAACATCGTCACTGCTCCTTTAACTGGCTGGCCTCTTGCCTCCTCCGTTCTTGCCTCCGCAAAGCAGTGCAAGCTGGGAAAGCGCGACAGTGCATGCCACTCCGCGCTCTTTCCCTCCAAAAAAGGACTCCGATCGTCGCCCCGTTGTCCTATTTAGGCAAGAGTGGGCGATCCTCATCATTCCCTTCCATGTATCCCAGCACCCAATTTACGCGCTGCGTGACTTTGCAGCAACGCCCCACTCAGGGATCTGCCGATGCGCCCACCACTTCTGGCCCTCCCCAATCTCCTGGACGCACGACAGCGAATCCCTTGGACGGCAACCACCCTGTTATGACGGCCATCGAGGTGTAAGTACGGAGAGGCTCAGGCTCTGCATTCCACCCGTGATTAATACTCGCCACAACCGCCTGCCAAAAGAAAAGCACCGTTTCATGCATCCCAGGGCTTTTGCCCAATCGTGCAACTGTTGCCCAACGACGGCAAAAACGTGTCTAAAATTCCTCTATACGAAGAATCAGAGGAAAGAATGTCCATCCTGCCCGCTCAAAAAAAAAAAACTATTGGGGTCGTTGTCAGGTACTTACCAGGCGTATATCATGTCACGGTGTGTGACCAGCGCCACCACTACTAATTGATCGCCCAAAGGTCCGTCCCAGACGGTGGTGAGTGATGTGCAAACCGGGCTCGGCCAGCTCATCAGCGTCCCTTTGCCATGCGTTTCTGGTTCTTCGGCTTCGCAATGTCTCGAATGGCTCTCTTGTCTTCCACCCAGGCCGCGACCCAGTCGCTTTTCTCACTTGGCGAGACCGTCGTTCTTGCCGCCGACCTCTCCTGTAGCTCTTGGCCCCATTTGTACGTCCTGTAACCAATCCAAGGCCCACGGCCAAGGATCGCCCGAAGCCATCTTGTGGCATTTGGTCCAGCATGCGACCGTGAAGCCGCGCGCAGGAGGTGGATGAAAAGCCCAGCTACGCGACGACAAGAGGCTGGCCATGTCCGTAGCATACGATGTACGAGAGCAAGCAAAAAAGGCGCGGCCGGGAGCTGTGGCCACGGACCCTGCCTGGCGAATATCGAGGACAGGAGTACGAATTAACACGACCATGCAACATGGGCCGGAGGATAAAAACGATGCGACCGGGAGTGCACTGACTGTGTTTTCCCTTCCCTGGTCGTTCTCTTCATCGTCTCCTTGTCTTCATCTCTATTTCGTACCGGTTCACACGGTCCCACGTTTGCACAATAAACTTCACACTCGCCGTCCCCTTTCCCCTGTCGTTGTTCCTTTGGTGGCCCCCTGCGCCTTGCCCTCTTATTCACTCTTCCATCTCACTTTCCTTTTTAATTTTTCTCATTGGGCGTCTCCCTTGAGTATTTTTCTTGTCAAGGTTTTCCCTCACTGTACGCACCTTCCTCTCGGCGCGTTGCGTCTGCAGAGCCCCTTCCCATTGTATTATATAACTTGACGTGCATATCCGCATCTTCGCTGCTTTCCATTTTCGTCGACCTCCTTCTGACCTACATCCATCGTCGTCCCCCAGACTATCTTTACCTCCTTTTCTTTCTTTTCTTTCCGGGTCTTTTATTTTAGCTTTCTTTTACCCTTACTCTCGTTGATCACCACCGCGGCCTGATTCTCTCCCTCTTCATCGGCTGCACCCATCGTTCTTCCCCTCTGTCGCACCACAACCAGCTATCACGACGCCGGTCGCTCCTTCCTCTTTTGTCTCCTTCCTTACCTTCCACAAACCGATCCGGAAGCATCTCGGTCCTTCAGAGCCCTACCGTCGCTTGGCTATAGCTATTGTCCTTTTCCCACCTTTCCTCTGCATTCTTTTCTCTGCTCGTTTCCTACGTCTCTGAAAAAAAATACCAATTTCCAAGTCTTGGTCTCGACGACCCCAACTGCGCAAGTCGCCCTCTATCCTTTGTTTGTCTTCTTCGTCCCCAGTTTCGCTTTCTTCTTTTTGCATATATAAAGTCGACGATCCTACTCTTCGAGCGGGAACCTTTCGTTCATCTGTCAACACTTCCCTCTTTGTCACTGTGGACTCGCCATCGGACGACGTTGCCCTCTCGTGTAAGTTGGCCACTATTCTCCTTGCCTTTCCAACAAAATACGATGCTGTTCCTTTTTGTCGTTGTCGCTTTGTCGCCTTGTCACCTCGTCATATCCCGCACCAAAATAACGGAGCCTTTGTTTTGGACTTGCTTCCCTTGTCGATTCTCTGTTGCCTGCGAGTCTGCTTTGGCCCCTTGCTGCACTGCTCTTTAACCTCGTGGCCATTCAAAGAACAAAGACCTGCGCGCAAGATCTTTCCTTTGATGCCAGATCCCTACTACCTCACATATAACATGAGCCGTCAGACATGCCACTTCACTGTTCAGGGGGATGAACACGATGGCCGTTCACTTGGACAGCTTGCCATGCTTCCGTACATAACCAAAAGACACTTTCCATTTCCATTCTTGTTTCCTCTTGCCCTTCTGCCACACTTTTTTTAATTCGTTTTTAGCAAACCTTTTTTGCCCTTGGGGTTACCTTCCGTTTCGGTTCAAAAACTAATATCAAAAGCAAGAACAGGAATTTCCTCCTCGCACTAGAACAAGACATCAAGCATTAGCTGGCTCTAATCTCGCAAGATGGGCTTTTCTACTCGCCTTACAGCCGCGCTCGCGCTGGCTGCAAGCCTCATTACTCCCATTGTCGCGGCACCTGCCGTCGAGTACCCCATCGCCGAGCGCGACGGGGCTACCGCCTCTGCCGCGGCTGCTTCGAGCTACTGGGTTGCCAACATTGAACGCAGAGGCACTGTGCCGTTCGGTGCCTCTGACTACCAGGTCTTTCGCAATGTCATGGACTTCGGTGCCAAGGGTGACGGTGTGACCGACGACACCGCTGCCATCAACAACGCCATCTCCTCTGGCGGCCGCTGTGGCCAAGGCTGTGACTCGAGCACGACGTCGCCTGCTCTTGTGTATTTCCCGCCCGGCAAGTACCTCGTCAGCGCGCCCATCATCCAGTACTACTACACCCAGCTCGTCGGTGACGCCATCAACCCGCCCACCCTGCTTGCCAGTGCTAGCTTTACCGGCATAGCCGTGGTTGACTCGGATCCCTATGACAACACCGGCAACAACTGGTGGACCAACCAGAACAACTTCTTCCGCCAGGTCCGCAACTTCGTCATCGACCTCACGCAGATGCCCTTCACTGCAGGCGCCGGTATTCATTGGCAGGTCGCCCAGGCAACCAGCCTGCAGAACATCGTCTTCAACATGCGCACCGACGGCGGCACTGCCAACAAGCAGCTCGGCATTTTCATGGACAACGGCTCTGGTGGCTTCATGGCTGACCTGGTCTTCAACGGCGGCGAGTACGGCGCTTTCTTTGGCAACCAGCAGTTTACCACCCGCAACCTCACCTTCAACAACTGCCAGACTGCCATCTTCATGAACTGGAACTGGGCCTGGACGCTGCAGGACGTCACCATCAACAACTGCGGTGTCGGCGTTGATATGAGCAACGGCGGCTCCGTCCAGACCGTTGGCTCGGTCCTCTTCCTCGACAGCACCGTCACTAACACGCCTATTGGTGTGAAGACCGCCTACCACCCAGTGTCGTCGTCCACCAACGGCACGCTCGTCATTGACAATGTTGACATGACCAACAACGTGCCCGTTGCCGTTTCCGACTCGACTAGCTCGTCCACCATCCTGCCCGGCAACACCAAGATCACTTCGTGGATTCAGGGCAATGTTCCCAGCTCTGGCGGCGCTAGCAGCGCGGTTCAGGGCTCGCAGACGGCCGTCAACAAGCCATCGGTCCTCCTCGACTCCACTGGCAAGATCTTTGCGCGCAGCCGTCCCCAGTACGAGACTGTCCCCGCCAGTAGCTTTGTCTCTGTCAAGGCTGCTGGTGCCAAGGGCGATGGCGTGACCGATGACACGACCACCATCCAGGCTGTCTTCAACAGCATCACCTCGGGCCAGATTGTGTACTTTGACCACGGCAACTACCTCGTCACCAGTACCATCAAGGTCCCCCCCAACGTCCGTATCACTGGCGAGATCTGGCCCGTCATCATGGCCGGTGGCAACGGCTATTTCTCGGACGCTGGTAACACGAAGCCAGTCTTCCAGGTAGGCCAGACCGGCGACTCGGGTGCTGTCGAGATCTCTGACATTCTGTTTGCCACGGTCGGCCCCCAGCCCGGTGCCGTCATGGTCGAGTGGAACCTCAAGGGCTCGTCTGCTGGCGCTGCTGGCATATGGGACGCGCACGTCCGTATCGGTGGTGCTGCCGGCACGAACCTGCAGCTGGCCCAGTGCGCAAAGAACCCGACCGTCACTGCGCCTGCCGACCCCAACTGTCTGGGTGCTGGCCTCATGCTGCACGTCACTTCGGGTGCCTCGTCGCTCTACGTGGAGAACGCCTGGTTCTGGACTGCTGATCACGACCTCGAGCCGTCGGCCAAATCGCAGCAGATCAACGTCTTCAACGGTCGCGGTGTTCTGATCGAGTCTCGGGGCCCCGTTTGGATGGTCGGCACCGCCTCGGAGCACAGCGTCCTGTACAACTACCAGCTCACCTCGGCCAGCAATGTGTACATGGGCCTGATCCAGACGGAGACCCCCTACTACCAGGGCAACCCCGACGCGCGGACGCCGTATGCCAGCCAAACTGCACTGTCGGACCCCAGCTTTGAATCGTGCACTGACGCGACCTGCGCTCGTGCCTGGGGTCTGCGCATCATCAACTCGACTGACGTGTTCGTGTATGGTGCTGGTCTCTACTCCTTCTTTGACAACTACGACCAGACGTGCCTGGACACGGAAAGTTGCCAAGACAACATTGTCAGCGTGGAGTCGTCCCAGGCGTTCCTTTACGGCCTCAGCACGAAGGCCTCGGTCAACATGGTCAACGTTAACGGAGTGTCGGTGGCTAAGGACGCCAACAACCGCAACAACTTCTGCGCGACGCTGGCGCTCGTCTCGGTGAAGGCGTAGTGTCACTACCTCAATGAACATGAACCCATGACCATGATACGATTACGATCAACGGGTCAGGACGTCTGCCATCTTGCCATTTGGGATCTTCACTTGAACATTTTTTTCTTCTCGTTTCTTTTTTTTTTTCTTTTTTCTTCTTTTTTTCTTTTTCCTTTCATCACCACCATCCCTCACTCATAAACCACAAACCAACCTCCTTTCGATTCGTCACACTCGCTTCACTGCCCCGTTTCATAACCCTCCATTTCACCCCTTCTATTCGTTTTTCATCATGTCTGGCTGTCTTCGGGCAGCTGGAAAATGCATGTGCATTGGCGTCGGTGGACAGACCATTTCATTTTCATTGTCGAAGATTAAAAGTTCAAAGAGAGCACGGCCTCTTTTTGAAAAGTTGTCGGGTAGAAACCTTGACCGTAATAAAACAAAATTTCAAAAATAATAAGTTAAAATTGTATTGTGATACAATGCAAACGAGAAGTCATCTGCTGCGAAAAGTTTGTCAATGTATGATACGACCAGGTGTAAGTGTGTTGTATCGTTGGCTTGATGGAGACCTGAAGTGGGTCTGGTTTCGCGTCTGGCACGTGATCGATATCCAGACGTCATCGGTTTTTGCTCGGTTGCTGAACAAGCTCTGGTAGCAAAAGCCAAACGACGCTATTTTGGCCCCAAGTTCCCAGCGCCTCGATTCATTGATGTCCCATTGCTGCCTCGAATGCCAGCGACGGCCTACGGCACCGTGGCCTCTTCCTCGCTTCTCCACGGCCCATTGGCTTTCTTTCTTTCTGATCTATCAATTTGCTTCCTCGCAAGGTAGCAGTTACATACAATTTGGCCGACAGCTTTGATTCTTTGATTCCCCTTCCTCCCCTTCAACCTCGACTTCCGTTATGGCCTCATCGCCTCGACCGGCCGAACCTCAGCTGCGACAGAAGCCCAAGATGGCCGATACGCCTGCGTCTGCATCCTCTACCCCCGCTCCTGCAGCGCGCCGTGGCTCGCCATTCCTGCCGACCTCGCGCGAGTCCCTCCTTCTCGCCGTCTTCCCGGTTCTCCTCCTCTTCGGCACCCTCTTTAGCCTGCTGTCCCCGCAGACGCGCGCGGCCGCCGCCGCCGGAGCAGCTTCGACAGGCAGCGGGCCTGGCTCAGGAACAGCGCACTACCCGCAGACACCGAGCCTCGCGCCGAGCTACTTTGCGCGCAAGGACAACCTACTCAACGTCTTCTTCGTCAAGCGCGGCTGGTTCTGGATCACGGTCACGTTTGCATTTTTTGTCGGCACCCACCCGTACTATGCTGAGCCCAGCGCACCCCGAAAACACGTTCTGGGCCGTCGTTCTGCCGCTGTCCTCCGATGGGGCCTTGTCACCGGCTGGTGGTTCCTCGTCACGCAGTGGTTCTTTGGTCCCGCCCTCATCGACCGCAACTACCGCCTCACGGGCGGCGGCTGCCAGGCCCTGCAGGCTTTGACCGACGAGGCGGGTGCGGCTGCTTCGTCGGGCGAGGGTGGCAAGCACGCCGAAGCGACATACCAGTTTCTAGAGGCCGCCACGGCTTCGGCCTGCAAGCACGCCGGCGGCCAGTGGCGCGGCGGTCACGACATTAGCGGGCACGTTTTCCTCTTGGTGCTGGGCACGACGTTTTTGGCGCAGGAGGTTGGCTGGGTGCTGTGGCGCCAGGCGCAGCGGCGAGCGGCCATCTCGGGTGGCGTGTCTGGCAGCACGAGCCACAGCAGCAGCGCAGCGCGTGTCGTCGACACACGATTGCTGGTCATGGACGACGGCGCTGTCAAGTCGGCCGAAGTCGAGGCCGGCCTAGCCACCGGCAGAACCGGCGAGCAGAACAGCAGTGCAGCCCGTGCCGGTCTCATGCAGCCTGATACCCGCAGTGCCAACGCGGCCCTATTGTCGCGCGTTGCCCTGCGCGTGACTGCAGCCGCGATTGGCCTCAGTTTGTGGATGCTGTTGATGACAGCAATCTACTTCCACACGTGGTTCGAAAAGCTTACTGGTCTTCTCGTTGCGCTGGTGGCCTTTTACAGTGTGTACGTGCTGCCGCGGTGGGTACCGGCCCTGCGGCGCGTCGTCGGGTTGCCCGGGTTGTAATCGATATGAAACGGTAGCAGGCAGGCCGAGAAGCTTTGTTCGAAGAGCTCATTGTTGCACCCTGTGCACGGCTTGGACTGTTTTCTTTAACACATAGTTAGCTAGGACATTCATGTAAACGAGCTCATTTAGACTTCGTATTTGTCGATTTGGGAACAGATACTACGGCATGATGACGTAGATTACGTGCTTCGTCTTCGTGACCTTACTTGTCGGACCCACCGGCCCTGAAGGTCACGTGCAGGCCCCTAGATGGTTGTCCTGTCCCAGAGAGGCCTCGCCAGCCATTCCTTTAGAATGCCGTGCAACGTTAACCCAGTAACCCTAATGTGTTTTCAAACATCATGTACAATTGTCTCCAAGCTTAGTCGGCGTCCACCATCTTAACCTACAGCTATGCCTCGCGGCTGGTACCTAGCCCAAGGGCTGATCCCACTCGGTGAAAGCAGTAGCGACGACGAGGAGGGGCCCTGTGAGCTCCCTAATGGTCGCGTGGTCTGTGGCCCTCATGGTCTGGTTGTCTGCCCCCGGTGCTGCTCGGATTACAGCTTCATGGATGATGTTCTTAGTGGAAGCTCCGATGTTGAGGATACCGACGCGGAAGATGAGGATGAAGATGAGGATGAAGATGAGGATGACTTCACAAACGACAACATTCCTTTGGCACCCCCGACCGTTGGCCTAGAACTGATTCGAGGAACCGGGCAAGTCTTTCCTACCAAATTCACCCCAGCAGCTCCACTTGCTCCTCTGGAGCTGTTCTCTGGCCGCAAAGCCAATATGGCTGTGACAAGGTAGGTATATGTACACGCACAAGTAACGAGAGATGGCATTTTGCTCATATGTCTTCCCCAGAATCACTCTCCGAAATGACACTGGTACCGGCCTGATCCGCACAGACGGTGCTTGCCTGAACAACGGCCAACGAAACCCAACCGCCGGCTGCGGTTTCTGGGACGGACTTGGTCCGTCGGGTGACCAGCACACTGTATCGTTCCGTTTAGAGAAACAAGGCCCCTTCGGCGATCCCCATGAACAGACCAGCAACCGGGCAGAACTCCGTGCCGTCATTGCAGCCTTGCGCTTTCGGTATTGGCCCGGAGAGGGTTTCCACACGCTCGTCATTGCCACAGATTCTGAATATGCGGTCGAGGGATGCACCACCTGGGCTCGGACATGGATCCGGAACGGCTGGAGGACGCGGTTGGGGCCCGTCAAGAATAAGGATATGTGGGAGGCTCTACTGGGGGAGGTTGAGCGTTTCGACCACAACGGGATGGCTGTTAAGTTCTGGAGAATTCCAAGAGAGGCGAATATGGTTGCTGATGCAGCTGCAAAGAGCGGTGCAGGGGAGCCAGATGCACCTGAAGAATGGGGTGACGTCTACGGCCTGAATTTTTGATGGGATATAGCTTGAAGGCGCGAGGGCAAAATTGGTTGGGGTCGACAACAAAATAATCGTTCACTCGATATGCTGTAACGAGTCGGACTGCTCTAAGATACAAGATTGCAAAGACCGGTTAGGGTAGCCGCGGGATCATATAGTTTATACCTATTGTTCTTTCTGAAAGTCGATATGAAAATGAAAAAAAGAGAAGAAAAACATTCACCAGGGATACCGAGAAGTCGAAGTGGCACGACGTGTATCACTCCACTCAATTGGGGATTAGTCCATACACATATAATTCATGATTTTTTTTTTTTTTTTTTTTTTTGGCGATTATTGGAAGACGTTCTTTGGTAGCTGAAGCTAAACCTCCAGGTTGGCTCTGGCGCGCTAAATTGCGGGTCGTGTGGCCAGGGCAAGTGCGTTCCCCGCAGAAGGTCGTCGCGCTAGCAGTGCTCGTGCCAGCCACACTTGCAGTTTTCCTGCGGTTTACAATTACGACGCTCTTTCCCTTTGTCGTACCAATGGGTACGACCTGGCCCTGTCCATTTACGGAAACAACGAACCACACAAAGAACTTGTTTTGTCGACTCTCGTTTGGCTTTTGCCAAAACGGAGAGAAGAATCTATCGACAACTCTCTTCCGCACACAGCCAGAAATGCATTCACTCCCTGTCGTCTCGCTCACTCGAGAACAGCGAACGACCAACCATGTCCCTGATTCCCTACCACCCGCAGGAAGGGCGAGAAATCATGCTGTAAGAACCCCGACTACGTCATGTGGAGCTCCGCTTTAGGGATTGAGCTTCACCTCTGCTAGAGGACAAGGACAATTGAATTGACCTCCTAGGCGCCACCGCAACGCGATTGTTGTGCACGATCCGACATCGCAACGACTCGAGATCCGCGGCGTTGCCGAGTGCCCGACATGTCACCGTCCACTACGATCGGCTTCGCCCGAGCGGCCTCACTATGGTGACGACAGTCTCCGCAACAGCTCCTCAACGGGCCACCATGGCTACGGTCGGCACGAGGGCTACGTCGATCCAAACTACTTCCGCATGCTACGCGCCGGCCACCATGTCGGGCAGCTGCGCGCCGCGCCGTCGCTCTCGTCGCCGCCTTCGGTCTCGGGAGTCCGATCGTCGGGCACAACACCTCGCGCAGGACGAAGTAGTCCGCTTCGACGGCTGTTCCAACCTCTCGTCGGACGTGCGGAGGCCGACACCGACACCGATGCGGACAGTGTCTCCTCGGTCGACGGCAACGGTGACGCGTTCGACCCCGACGGCGGCAGTGCAGCACCTGCAGCCGCCTCTGCATCTTCCTCCGTACCCCGCGACATGCCCAACGACGCCGAGTTCGTCTCCAGCACTCCTTACGTGCCCAACGACGCGGCGAATCCCATTAACAAGGAGGCGTTCAGTCCCAACTACTTCCAGACTTTTTTCGTCGAGGAACGCGAGCTCGGACGCGGCGGCAAGGGTGTTGTGTTGCTGGTTCGG